CGGTCTCTACGTTCTCCACACCGAGCGCTTCCCGGTCGCGTCCTCCCCTCAGGTTGTTGCGTCCCCTCCGACCCAGGTCTCCAGTCCTGTCGCTGTGTCCAGTCCAGTCGCCGCGTCTTGCTCCTGACGCTCTCTCGCCCACCGCACCGTCCTGTGGCACCACCGTCTTGGCCACCCGTCGATCCCTCGCCTTCGTGGCATGCTTAGTCAGGGACTCGTCACAGGTCTCCCACGCACCTTCCCGTCGCTCCCTCTCTCGCTTGCCCCTCCTTGCTCTCCTTGCGTCGCTGGTCGCTTACGCGCCACTCCCCACTCCTCCTCCCTTCGTCCGGCCACCGCTCCTTTTGAGACTCTCCACTTGGACGTCTGGGGCCCTGCCCCGACGCAGGGGTCTGGGAGGGAGCGTTACTTTCTGGTGGTCGTTGACGACTTCTCCAGGTACACCACAGTGTTCCCTCTTGCAAAGAAGTCTGAGGTGACTGCTACGCTGATCAGGTGGCTTCTAGCCACTGAGGGCACTCGAGGTCGTCGAGTCAGTTGTCTCCACTCCGACCGTGGGGGCGAGTTTCGCTCCGGCATTCTCGGCGGATTTTGCGGCGAACAGGGCATCACCCAGTCCTGGACGCTGCCTGAGTCCCCACAGCAGAATGGGGTTGCTGAGCGCCGCATAGGCTTGGTCATGGACATCGCCCGCACGTCCATGATCCATGCCCGTGCGCCCCATTTTCTGTGGCCCCACGCGGTTCGCTACGCCGCACACCAGCTGAACCTCCAGCCGCGTGTCTCGCGGCCCGAGGCTTCACCGACCAGTCTTTGGACTGGTTCCCCTGGTGTCGGGTCGGCCTTTCGATTCTGGGGCTGCCTTGCGCTTGTTTGCGACACCTTCGCGGACAAGCTCTCGGCACGCGCCGTCCCCTGCGTCTTCCTTCGTTTCCCAGTGGACTCTGCCGACTGGTCTTTTTACCACCCTCCCCTCCACCAGTTCCTAGACTCCCGTGACGTCCGGTTTGACGAGTCCGTGTCCTACTACACCCGGTACCACAGTCGAGGTCTCCCGGTACCCCCTCCCCCTCTTTTCCTCGCACCCTCTCCTCCTCCTGCTCCCGCTCCTCCGGTACCCCCGCCCCCCCCTGGTCCTGCCCCGTCTGGTGTGTCCCACGCTACCCCTCTCCCCTCGGTCGCGCGTCAGGTAGTGTCTCCCTCCCCGCAGTCCTCCTCACAGTCCCCTCAGCAGCCTTCGGCACTTCCGCGACAGGTTACTGTGGACTCTGTTGGTGTTGGAGCTGGAGGTGCAGCCGCTGGGGGTGCTCGCTCGCGGGGTACTGGAGCTGGAGGTGCTGGCGCAGGTGGCGCTAGCTCTGGGGGTGCTGGAGCTGGGGGTGCTGGCGCAGGTGGCGCTAGTTCTGGGGGTGCTGGAGTTGGAGGTGCTAGCACTGGCGGTGCTAGTTCTGGGGGTGCTGGAGTTGGAGGTCCTGGCACTGGCGGTGCTGGTCCTGGGGGTGCTGAGTCTGAGGAGGCTGGAGCTGGAGACCCTGGTTTTGCGGAGTCCACTCCGCCTCCCCACCGCCACGACACGCGTCTCCAGGCTGCCCGTCGGCGTGAGCGTGAGGAGCAGGAGCGGTTGGAGAGGGAGCGGCAGGAGCTGCGGGTGCTGGACCTTCTGGAGCAGCAGCAGGAGCAGCAGCGGCAGCAGCAGCAGCCGCAGCAGTAGCAGCAGCCGCAGCCGCCGCCGCAGCTGCAGCAGCAGCAGCCGCAGCCATCGTCGTAGCCGCAGCAGCGGCAGCCGCAGCCGCTTCCGCAGCTTCCTCTAGAGCGGCAGTTGTTCCCACCTGTGAGTGGCCTGCGGGCCCTTGGCCTTTCCTCCTCTTCTTCTGTCCGCTCCCCGTCTCCTCCTGTGTTTGTTCCTCCGTTGCCTCCTCCTGACGACCGTCCGGCGGTCTGGTCTTCTCTTCCTCCTTCTGTCTGTCGCGACTTGATCACCTGTTGTCCTCCGCGTGCTCGTCACTCGTCCCCAGTTACTGACCTCCACACTGCCCTCCTTTGTTCGTCTCGCCCGTCGTTCTCCTTCTCATGTGTCCGTTCTCCCGTCTCCTCCGTCCTCTGTCACAGCCCCCCCCGCTCCTATCTCTGACTACTACCGCATTGTTCGTCCTGTTGCCGCACATGTCCTCGCCACTCTTGTCACCGACTCTCGTTTCCCTCCGTCGTCTGCCTCGGCTCTCACTGCCGCTGTCGCTGAGTTTGCTGCCGCCAGTCGCCTTGACTACACCACCCGTGTGGTGCCAGCTCCTCCCTACCGTCCTCTGTCCGTCGGGGGTGGGTTTGCCCTTGGCTGTGACGTCCTAGAGGACAGAGAGTCTGAGCTGGAGTACTGGGCAGCCGCTTCTCCCTCTGTGTGTGCCATGCTACTCTCCCCTGAGGGAGGCAGTGTCAGGGGCATGGGCCTCTCAGTGGAAAGCGGCTATGGACTCAGAGTTGGCATCTTGGAGGTCCACAGGCACCTACGTCGACGCAGTTCCCCCTCCCAGGGCGAACGTAGTCGATGGCATGTGGCTCTTCAAGGTGAAGCGGCCGCCTGGAGCACCGCCGGTGTTCAAGGCGCGCTACGTGGCTAGGGGCTTCAGTCAGCGTGAGGGAGTTGACTTCTTCCAGACCTTCGCCCCGACCCCGAAGATGACTACTCTTCGGGTGTTACTCCACATAGCAGCGCAGCGAGACTACGAGCTGCACTCCCTCGACTTCTCCACTGCGTTCCTCCAGGGCCGACTGCACGAGGAGATCTGGCTGCGCCGTCCTCCTGGCTTCACGGACACCTTCCCACCTGGGACCCAGTGGAGCCTTAGGCGACCAGTCTACGGTCTCCGACAGTCGCCCCGTGAGTGGCACGACACTCTTCGCTCCACGCTTCGTGACCTTGGGTTCAGCCCGTCCTCCGCCGACCCGTCGCTGTTTGTTCGAGCGGGTTCTACTCCTTTCTTTATCCTTGTCTACGTCGACGACTTGGTGTTTGCCACAGCAGACAGGGCAGCCCTGGCTCAGGTGAAGTTCAAACTGCAGAAGAGACACAAGTGCACTGACCTGGGTGAGCTGCAGCGTTACCTTGGCTTGCAGATCACCCGGGACAGAGCCGCTCGCACCATCACACTAACGCAGTCACACATGGTGCAGCAGGTCCTTCGGCGGTTCGACTTCTAGTTCTCCACCACACAGCCCACTCCTCTTGCTGTTGACCACAGACTCACGGGCCCCTTTCCTGACGAGCCCTTTGAGTCCAGTGGACCCTACGCAGAGCTGGTGGGCTGCCTCATGTACCTGATGACTTGTACTCGACCGGACCTCGCCTTTCCCCTCAGCACCCTTTCTCGCTTTGTTGCGACTGGGAGACACCGCCCTGTCCACTGGACAGCTGCTGTGAGGGTGGCAAAGTACCTGGCGACTACATCAGGCATGGGGCTTGTGCTTGGAGGGACTCAGCCAGTGGTGTTGACTGGTCACTGTGACTCTTCCTACGCTGACGACGTGGAGACTCAGCGCTCGACTCAGGGTTACTGCTTCAGTCTGGGAGCTGGTGCTGTGTCGTGGAGGTCTACACGGTCGTCGTCTGTGGCTACTTCCAGTGCAGAGGCAGAGATCTACGCGGGTGCCATGGCGGCACAGGAGCTTCGCTGGTTGACCTTCTTGCTCGCAGACCTTGATGAGCGGCCTCGCTCTGCTCCGACCTTGTACGCTGACAACAAGGCCATGATCCTCCTGTGTCGAGAGCCTCGACTGGAGAGCAGAGTGAAGCATATTGACGTGAGGTACTTCCTCCTGCGAGAGCTGCAGCGACGCGGTCAGGCACGCCTGGACTTTGTGGCCTCAGAGGCCAACACTGCAGACGTCTTCACCAAGGCCTTGGCGCTTGGTGATCACCACAGGTTGTGTGTGCAGTTGGGGCTTGTTGAGGTAGGCCCTCGGTTACTGTAGTCCCGCTGCTTGCTCTGCTCGTTGTGCTTTGCATTTATATCCTAGTGAACTCTTGAACTGGCCTTGTGGCCGCTTGCTTGCGCTCGGAATTTGTGTGGTGTCCTTGAGATCCACCCTGAGCTTGCCTTGTTTCTTGCTTTGACTGGTCTTGTGACCGTTTGTTCACCTTGCTTGCTTTGATGCCCCTCACTTAGCCTATGGGGGTGTGTCAAATGTTGCACATTGATGTGATAGGCCGTAGTGAGTTGCACTCTAGGGGGGTACAGCTTCTAGGGTTGCTTATTTGTACCCCATTCGTTTCTATTCCACACATTCCGTTGCATTCCTATTCTGAGACGGGCATGGGGAAAGAATGGCTGGTATGATGATAATGAGCAGCGGACGCCTGGGGTGCGCTGTGGGGTCCTCACAGACCAGACGAGGCGGCTGGATGGGTGTGTCTTGTTCCCCTAGAGATTTGGAGTGCGGTAACTGTGGTTTTCGAGCGACAGATAGATCACGGTTGAATACACCAGAATATACAACACGCTAGGAGATACCGGTATGATCCTAGCTTGGAGAGCTCCGTGGATTAGATGTAGGAAGGACTCAATAGATAAGATGGAACTGGGACCATCCCACAAGGATTGCACCTTGCACACACAAGCTCGGTGCCATGGGGTTAGCCAGCACAACAAGTGCACGGCTGGTTCGGATCCCCTTGCAGCACCGTATCATCTACTTAGAACTATACATGCCTACTCTTACTCACGCTCAACACACAAAAACACAAACCAACCGTGCACACTGCATTGGCTGCGAAAGAACTTGAAGTCCGGGCACCCAGGTCTGGCCATCCAGGTCCAGGCAGGCATCCAGGCCGCCATCCAGGCCTGGTCATCCAGGTCTGGCCAGCCATCCAGGTCCGGACATCCAGGTCCGGGCATCCAGATCCGGGTCTATAGGAACATGTGTTACAAGAGCATGTGATGCCACACGCACTGCATTGGCGGTGCAAGAAGAGACCGTCAAGTGCGGGCGTGAGGACAAGTGGGCTACAAGAGCAGCTGCGCAAAGTACTGCTCAAACTCGTCATCAATGGTGGGCTTCTTCTTGGGCGCTGGCAGTCCCTCTGATAGACACAGCACAGCACAGAGCAGCACAGCACAGCACAGAGCAGCACAGCACAGCACAGAGCAGCACAGCACAGCACAGAGCAGCACAGCACAGCACAGCACAGCACAGCACAGAGCAGCACAGCACAGCACAGCACAGCACAGAGCAGCACAGCACAGCACAGAGCAGCACAGCACAGCACAGAGCAGCACAGCACAGCACAGAGCAGCACAGCATAGCACAGAGCAGCACAGCACAGCACAGAGCAGCACAGCACAGCACAGAGCAGCACAGCACAGCACAGAGCAGCACAGCACAGCACAGAGCAGCACAGCATAGCACAGAGCAGCACAGCACAGCACAGAGCAGCACAGCACAGCACAGCACAGCACAGCACAGCACAGCACAGAGCAGCACAGCACAGCACAGCACAGCACAGAGCAGCACAGCACAGCACAGAGCAGCACAGCACAGCACAGAGCAGCACAGCACAGCACAGCACAGCACAGCACAGCACAGAGCAGCACAGCACAGCACAGCACAGCACAGAGCAGCACAGCACAGCACAGCAGCACAGCACAGCACAGAGCAGCACAGCACAGCACAGAGCAGCACAGCATAGCACAGAGCAGCACAGCACAGCACAGAGCAGCACAGCACAGCACAGAGCAGCACAGCACAGCACAGAGCAGCACAGCATAGCACAGAGCAGCACAGCACAGCACAGAGCAGCACAGCACAGCACAGAGCAGCACAGCACAGCACAGAGCAGCACAGCATAGCACAGAGCAGCACAGCACAGCACAGAGCAGCACAGCACAGCACAGCACAGCACAGAGCAGCACAGCACAGCACAGAGCAGCACAGCACAGCACAGCACAGCACAGCACAGCACAGCACAGCACAGCACAGCACAGAGCAGCACAGCACAGCACAGCACAGCACAGAGCAGCACAGCACAGCACAGAGCAGCACAGCACAGCACAGAGCAGCACAGCACAGCACAGAGCAGCACAGCACAGCACAGAGCAGCACAGCATAGCACAGAGCGGCACAGCACAGCACAGAGCAGCACAGCACAGCACAGCACAGCACAGCACAGCACAGCACAGAGCAGCACAGCACAGCACAGCACAGCACAGAGCAGCACAGCACAGCACAGAGCAGCACAGCACAGCACAGAGCAGCACAGCACAGCACAGCACAGCACAGCACAGCACAGAGCAGCACAGCACAGCACAGCACAGCACAGAGCAGCACAGCACAGCACAGAGCAGCACAGCACAGCACAGAGCAGCACAGCACAGCACAGAGCAGCACAGCATAGCACAGAGCAGCACAGCACAGCACAGAGCAGCACAGCACAGCACAGAGCAGCACAGCACAGCACAGAGCAGCACAGCATAGCACAGAGCAGCACAGCACAGCACAGAGCAGCACAGCACAGCACAGAGCAGCACAGCACAGCACAGAGCAGCACAGCATAGCACAGAGCAGCACAGCACAGCACAGAGCAGCACAGCACAGCACAGAGCAGCACAGCATAGCACAGCAGCAGCACAGCACAGCACAGAGCAGCACAGCACAGCACAGCACAGCACAGAGCAGCACAGCACAGCACAGAGCAGCACAGCACAGCACAGCACAGCACAGCACAGCACAGCACAGCACAGAGCAGCACAGCACAGCACAGCACAGCACAGAGCAGCACAGCACAGCACAGCACAGCACAGCGCCACACAGCGCAGCGAAGCGAAGCGCAGCGCAGCGCAGCACAGGGCAGCACAGAGCAGAAGAGAGCAACTCAGAGAGCAGAACAGAGCAGAGCAAAGCACACCGACCACAAGAGCACAGAGCACAGAGCACACAAAGCACACAGAGAACACAGAACAGCACAGAGCACACAGAGCAACACGGGTAAGGGAAGGGGATGCACAGAAGTCAGGGCGAGGGTGAGGGAAAGGGTAAGGCTGAGGGCATGGGGGGCAGGCATGAGCACAAGTTGATTGATTGGAAAAGCATTACAACATGGCATTTTCTACTACTGATGGCACGCAACACTGCGCGGCAAAACGACACAAACAACTGGCATGCAGACGGAAAAAGCATTGAAGGGGGGGCAAGGGGAGTGTGGAGGGAGGGGGGGCTGGGAGCGGGAGGGGTGGGGGCATTGGGTGTGAGAGCAAAGGGAGGGAGAGGTGGGCAAGGAGAGGAGGAATAAAGTGAGCTTTGAACAAGTGCAACAAGAGTTTGGCATCCACCTGCTGAGAGTGTTCGCCCAGAGGAGAGGACAAACTTGGCCGCCCCTACGTGGTCCGCCATGCACCTATCGGCCTCCCCTTCCAGTGGTCCGTCCTCCTCCTCGCCACCCACCACCTGTGACTGCACCACCACGCTGAACCGCCGCCTCATCTCCGCCTCCTCGTCCGCCTCCTCTGCTCCCGCTCCCCCCGCTGTTCCGTTTGGTCTCTGCCGCTGCCTCTGCCGTTGCCGCGTGTCTCCACGGTCGTCATCGCCGCAGCGCGCCTCCCCGTCATCATCGCGTAGCCCCTCGCTGCGCGCGCCGTTCACTGATTCCTGCAGCACGCGCGCGTTCCGCCTCCGCCCTGCGCGCTGCTCGCTGCCCGTGCTCTCCCGCTCGCACGCGCTGCTGCCCCCGCTGCTGTCCCCGCTGCTCCCCTCGCGCGCGCAGCACTCCGCGGGCGCCGGCGCACACGTGCCGCCGATCGCGGCACCGCCTGCGCGCAGGCCGTCATCCACGCTCGCACTCCCTGCTGGCCCGCCGCCCGCCGTGCCTGCCGACGCGCATCCCGCAAGCACGGGCGCATGCGCGGATGGAGGCCGCCTCGCCGACGAAGCTAGCCCATCCCGCTCATCCTCCGCCGTCTCCCCTTCCTCCGCCACCCCCACTAGCCCCACCTTTCGTCTCCGCCTCCTCGGTCGCGGGGTGCTCTCTGCGCCGACTCCTCCTTCCCTCCTCTCCGCTTCCTCCTCCGCCCTTTCCCCGCCCTCCGCATCGGCCCTTTCCCCACCATACGCGCACGAGTTCTGCTCTCCTTCCCCTTGCGCTGCCGCCCATCCGCCCGCCTCGATAAGCGCGCCTGGGTCGCCCGCTCCCCGCGCCATCGCGACCTGCTGCCCCGGATCCACCCCCGCTCCCCGCCGCTTCCTGCCCCGCGCGCACACCACCCGCCGCGTGCGCGCGCCGCTCTCCATTGACGCGCCGATGCTGCGCGCGGAGGACGCGGGATGGTGGAGGCCCCCCCGCCCGTCACCGTGCGCGCCCGCTGCCGCGCCCACGGCGAACGCAAGCGGCGCTCCGCTGCCCGACGCCTCCAGAAGCAAATCTGACTCTGCGATTGGCTGGAAAGAATGCGGCGCGAAGTCGACCGACGATGCGCTCAGAGCGCGCCACGCGCCGCCTCTGCCCTCCGCCTTCCCCGCCACCGCCGCCGCCGCCGCCGCCGCCCGACCTTGCGCTTCGAAAGCCGCTGGCCCTGCCCCCCACGCGCCTGGCCTCTCCGCCCATGCCGCGCCTTCCGCGGGCCTGTGCGAGGCCGCCGCGAGGCATGCGCGCTTGGCGGAGAAAAGGGGAACGTCCCAGCGGGTGGCGTGAGCGGGCGGGGAGGCGGATGGATGCGCAAAAGGGGAGTCCGCGTGCGACGGCGCGACGGCCGCGTGCGGCAGGGCAAAGGCGGGGGCGTGAGGGCCATGTGATGATGTCAGACAGGCGGAGTCGTCGGCAGTGTCGGATAGATGGCTGCTCGCACGGGAGGGGAGGAAGGGGAACGAGGGGGGGAGGAGGTGGGGGGAACGGGGGGAAAGAGGGGGTGGGGTGGTGGGGGTGTGGGGGCGGGAGGTGGGGAGACGGGAAAGAGCGGGTGGAGGGGGGGGAAACAGGGGGTGGGGAAAGAGGGGGTGAGGGGAGTTGGGGTTAAGAAGGCAACACGAGGTGGATGGAATGGGAAGAGGGAGAAATGGGACGGGAGGGGGGAAATGGGAGAGAAGAAAGAGGCAGAGGAGGAAATCAGCGAAAGGAGTGAGATAAGCGAACGAGGAATGGGCGTTGGCGGGGTCACGAAAGCATCTCCGTCGCGCGCAGTTTGCGACAGACACGAGGAAAGCAGCGGCGACAAGGTGGCCAATACGCGCAATACCTTTTCCGTTTCCGCCACCCGGCATCCGCTTGCGCTCCCCCCGGCACCGCCGCATCCCCGTCATGCCGCGCGCAGCTGTTGCGCGCGCCCGACCAGCCTTCCTCCGCGCGCCCCCGCTGAGACCCCTCAAACCCGCAGCTTCCATCCACGACGCTCCCGTTGGCCCAGCTGCCGCCGTGCGACGGGTGCGACGAGACGAGCGACGGGTGCGAAGGGACGTGCGACGAGTGGGACGGCGCGTGCGACAGAAGGAAGGAGTCGGCGAGAGAGGAGCCGAAGGAGGCGGAAGCAGGCGGGGGGGCGGCGGCGGGGGGGGCCCACTTCTTGTGCCCCACCACCCATCGGCGCGCGGAGAGGGGGGCGGCGGGGGGCCGGGATATGGCGTCCATTGGCGGGGAGGGGGGAGAGAGGCGTGGAGGACGACAGCGGTACCTCGCCTGACGATGACCTGCAGCACGCAGGGATAGCGGGAGGGAAGACGCGCGCAGCGGGGATGGCGGGAAGCGCGCAAGCGGGAATGGCGGGAGGGAAGTGGCGTTCACACGGGACGAAAAGGGGAACGACGGTTATTTCTGTGAGCGGGCGGTCGAGCGGGGGAGTACAGGGAGAGGAATCGACTCGACGGGATGTGTCGCGAAACGCCGAGGAACTTCCAAGAGATGCTGCGCGCGCATGCACGAGCGACGACGTCGACGCAAATTTATATACATGCCGAAAAGCGGTCCGGGGGAATGAGACAGAGTGGAGAAGGCGGGAAGGGAGGAAAGCCGAGGAGAGTTATCGTATTGCACGGGATAAAGTCGAAAAACAGGCAGTTGAATAATGAGAAGAGTCTTACCACTAATGATGGTTGTTGACGCGAAACCGAGAGGCTATAGCGACATTACGACCGAGCATAAATACACGAGTAACTGCCAGTCACACAATGTCACATACACAGTGGGAGGGGAACGGACGCTTTGTGAAGAGAGAGACGGAGGCGGGGATCTGAGAGATTGGCGATCTAGAAGGTGCTGGGCCGCATCGACGGTCCATTGCCGTACAATGACAAGGCCATGCGACTGGCGACATTACATCGTACGACACTGCGTGCGACGACAGCAAACGATGGCAGCATGCGATGGCAGCTCGTGGCGATAGCACTACACACAGTGAGAACTACCGGATACTCACGTCGCAAAATCTGTAGCTTGTGTTGCTGTATCGACCTGTTGAAGCTCCGCTAGCATTAAGTTAACTCTACGAGCACCCAACTAGGGTTACGGTTGTGGCGCAAGCTAACAAGCTAAGAGATGCGCGGATTGCTAGGAAGCATGAGGCAGCGAGGAATGGGGGGGAAGCGAAAGCAGTGAGCTGAGCAGTTGGGCTTCACCACACCCAACGACTAACGACCAACGAAAGGACCAGAGAACAGCTAGGGTTTGGTGAACGGCACTGTTCATGCGGTGAGGGGAGGAGGAGGGCCAAGGCAGGTGAGCAAGTGGGCAGGAGGAGAGGGGAGGGGGAGGCGAGGGAAAGGGAAGAGAAGAGAAAGGGCGGAGGCGAGGAGAGGCGAGATGCAGGTTGGCATATCGCAGGGCTATCCGCTGTCCGTTGGGATTCAGATGCGCTCATCAATGTGAATGGCGTGATTAGGTGGCGCCGATGCCGTGCTGCCATGCGTGACTCCCCTGCCCTCGCTCTCACGTGCGACACGCTGGAAGTGGAACAAGCATGGCAGAAAAAAGTTCGTTCTGGGTGGCTACATCGCTCCAAGGCTGTAAGTAAATTAAAAAATGTCTTACACCTGGAAAACGAATAACAAAGCTTGTGACTAAATGAACTGACGATACAATGAAAAGGCAAACGATAATATAGCGGGTGCAAGGAATTTTCTAGACATTCCTTAGCGCATCCTGCAACATCGCGTACAGCAGCAGCCGTTGTTCGCCCGTACTGCTAACGGGGCTTCGCCGACTTCGCGCGCACTGTTTTCACCAAACCTCGCACTGCTGGTCCGGTCGTGTCGGCCTACGCTTCAGGACTAGCCCGAACCTCACTGCCAGCGTAGCACTAGCTAGCTCGCACGCACCGCGTTACCGTTTGCATGTTTCGCGTATAAATGTTCGCTCATGCCTTAGCTCACATTTTGTACACGTTTGACACTTATTGCAATCCTCGCTACCTCGATACATTGCACCCGTAACACTTGGTATTCAGAGCCTCTTTCTTTTCGGACCGCGCATCTCCGACCCCAGGAAATCAACTTTTGTTTTTTCACTTGTTACGATATGAAATAAAATGAGAAGGCATTCCTGTATGCTGCAGGAGCCGACTTTACCGAGTACGAAGTCGAGGAGTCATAAGAGTCGAAGCGACGCAGCAACCGTCTGACCAAGACCGATGTAGGCAGAAACATTTGAAGTGAAAAGAGCGGGAACATGTTTGAAACGAGTTCTCGCGCCGCACGGTTTGAATTTCGCTGTAATAAGGGAATGTACCCCTTAGAGTACATGGCTATTCTAGGTCTTTTTGTATTCCCCTGTATTCTTATATAAACCCGTTGTATGTATGCTTTTATCAACCCTGAGCGATCCTTCGCTAAGTCCCACTTGGTAACATAATATGAGAGCTACTCAGGGATTCTTCGCAACAACACTTCCGTGAAATTCGCCCAAGCAAGATCTGGCGAGCGGCACACGCTCAAAGACCAAGATGGCCGGAGGATTCGGAGGCCAAGCAAATCTGACGGCTGAAGGACAAACCAACCCGGCTGCGACAAATGAGGCGACAACTACGATCGGCACTGCCGCACTCTAGCAGCTATTCGCTCGACTTTCAACTATGGAGAAAGAACTCCACGAATTGCTCAAAGGCGATGTGGGAACCTCTTCCCAACCAGCACAACCTGGACAACCGGCTACGAAAAGCCGTTATACCGCCGCGCACACCTTCTCCCTCGACATAGAGAAATCAACAACAACTGCCCCCCGTCTAAGTTGAGAAGAATTGAACGAGAATGAAATGACTATGAATGAAGTGAGTACAAATAGGAAACCCTAATGGGATTGTACCCCCTATGGGATACCCCACTATAGCCTACACAGATAAGTAAGCTATGATGTTCTGACACACCCCCATAAGCAAAGTGGGGGAGAACAAGGGGTCACAAGACCAGTCAAGCAAAGCAAAGCAAAGCTCAGGGTGGATCACAAAGTCACCACACATTCCGAGCACAAGTTCAAAGGCCAGAAGGCCAGTTCACATGCAAGATCATATATAGAGATATACAAGAGTCAAGCAAGCAAGAGCAAGAGTATATATAGGTGAAAACAAGCAAGGTCAAGAAGTGAGCAAGTGAGGCAAGACAGGCACAAGACCCAGCTGCGTGCAGCAACGCTGATGATCACAAGGCGCAAGTGCCTTGGTGAAGACATCAGCAGTGTTGGCCTCAGAGGCCACGTACGCAAGTCGCAACTGTCCACGCTGCTGTAGCTCACGAGCAAGAAAGTAGCGGAGAGCAATGTGCTTTGTCCTGTGCTTCAGTCGCTGCTCTCGACACAAGGCCAGCATGACCTTGTTGTCGACGTACAGGACTGGAGGAGAACGAGGCGGCTCTCCAAGGTCGGTAAGCAGGAAGGTGAGCCAGCGAAGCTCCTGTGCAGCCATAGCCCCGGCGTAGATCTCAGCCTCACAAGTGGAGCCGAGAACACAAGACGAGCGGGTAGCCCGCCACGAGACAGAGCCGGAACCAAGACTGAAGGTGTAACCCTGTGACGACCGCTGCGTAGCCTGGTCGTCAGCCCAAGAAGCGTCTGCGTGCCCAGTGAGGACCACTGGACTGCGCCCTCCAAGCACTAGCCCCATGCCCGACGTACTGCACAAGTAGCGCAACACCCTCTTCGCTGCAGCCATGTGCTCTGGTCGGTGTCTCCCAGGAGCAACATAGCGTGCGAGAATGCTAAGAGGGTATGCAAGGTCAGGTCGTGTGCAGGTCATCAGGTACATGAGGCAGCCAACAAGCTCTGGATACGGGCCACTCGACTCTACGGACTCATCCGAAGGCAGAGCTGAGAGCGAGTGGCGAGTAGGCAGAGGAGTGGCCTGAGGCGAGGAGTACGTGAAGCCGAAGCGCTGAAGGACCTGCTGCACCATGTGTGACTGAGTCAGGGTAATGGTGCGGCGTGCTCTGTCCCGGGTGATCTGCAGGCCAAGGTAGCTGCGCAGTTCACCCATGTCAGTGCACGTGTGTCTCTTCTGCAGCTCGGACTTCACGTAGGCGAGTCCAGCAGTGTCAGATGTGGCAAAGACCAAGTCGTCGACGTACACGAGGATGTAGAACGGCGGCAGAGAGGTGTCGGTGCGTAGAAACAGCGACGGGTCGGCAGTAGAAGGAGCAAACCCGAGTGCCGCCAGCGTAGTCCTCAGTGTGTCGTGCCACTCACGTGGCGCCTGGCGGAGACCGTAGACTGGACGCCGGAGACTCCACTGGGTACCAGGAGGGAAAGACCCAGTGAAGCCATGTGGGCGACGCAGCCAGATCTCCTCGTGCAGGCTGCCCTGCAAGAAAGCTGTGCTGAAGTCGAGAGAGTGCAGCTCGTAGTCACGGTGAGCAGCAACGTGCAGCAGTACCCGAAGAGTGGTCATCTTCGGGGTGGGGGAGAAGGTCTGAAAGTAGTCAACTCCCTGCCGCTGACTGAAGCCACGAGCCACGTAACGCGCCTTGAAGACAGGCGGAGAACCCGGCGGCCGCTTCACCCTGAAGATCCACATGCCACTGCCTATGTTCGCCCCAGGAGGGGGAACAGCGTCAACGTAGGTGCCTGTGGACTTCCAGGAAGCCATCTCAGCATCCATAGCTGCCTGCCACTGAGAGGAGTAGGGACCCTCTATCGCCTCCGCGTAAGAGCGCGGAGTCGGGATGTCAAGTGCATCCGGGTCTCCCTCAGGGGCTAGCAGTACAGACGCGAGATGAGGTGAAGCGGCGGCCAGACACTGGAACTCCTCCTGCCTGTCCTCGAGGACGTCCGTGCCAAGGGCACACTCACCCCCGACGGACGGAGGACAGGCAGACTCAGACTCAGCGACAAGACTAGCAGCGTAGTCTAGACGACAGCGCGCAGCAAAGTCGACGAGCTCAGTGACAAGGGCAGACGCAACAGCAGACTCGAAAGAAGGGTCAGTGACAGCAGTAGCAAGGAGACGCGTGACAGTAGGACTGGCAGCACGAAGAGAGTCCGACTCCGGGTCGGCAAGAGCAGGAAGAGAGGAAGCAGGAGGAGAAGGCAAAGGGGCACGCAGAGGAGCAGTGGACGGACGCAGAGACATCCGGTGCGTGCCAGGGACAGGAGGAGGACGCTGACGCGAACCGCGGCCACTAGTGCGTGCAGGATGAACAGGCGACGCAGGACGAGACGGAGGCTCACGACGCTCAGTAAGACCTCCAGTCGGACCAGCGTAGGGAGAAGGAGCAGGCAAAGGGGTGGCAGGCTGTAGCTGTGACTGGGACTGGACAGGCTGTGGACCCTCTAAGGGAGGAGGAGGAGGACTAGGAGAAGGTGTAAGACCAAGAACCTGCTGCAGGAGCGGAACGAAGTACGGTCGGGGCCGCGTGGCGACGCCAGAAACAGCAGGGACAGCACCAGTACCCCCAGCTGGAGTACCCGCTCCTGCAGCACCTCCAGCAGCACCTCCAGTAGCTCCAGAACCCCCAGCAGCACCAGGAGCACTGTCAGTCGGACCGCCAGCAGTAGTCTCAGCGCCAACACCCTCAGCAGCACCAGCTCCACGAGAACCCTCAGGCCCAGCAGCTCCAGCGCCCCCAGTACGAGCACCTCCGGGACGCGCGGCAGCAGCACCCTCTGCAGCCGAAGAACCTCCAGCACCAGCAGCACGCCTCCAGCGCCGGGCAAACCACTCACGTAGCTCTCGTGGGGAGAGTGGCTCTCGGCGAGACGAAGCACCTCCAGGCGGAGAACCTCTAGGCGAAGAACCTCCAGGCTCAGCACTCTCAGGCAAAGCACCTCCAGGCGGAGCACCCCCAGTCTCAGCACCCC